TTTTCATTCATCTTTTCTTTTGACTTTCATTTTTCATTTTTACTTTTACGGGCTGCTCTTTTACCTCTTTTATTTGTGGGTCTTTGAAGGTGTGTGCGAGAGAGAAAGGGAGGGAGGGAGGGAGCTGGAGTCAGAAAGAGCTGAGCTGCCCCACCTATAAGCTGAGAGAGAGACCTCCTCACCCTCTTTTTCTTTCTTTCTTTTCCAGCAAGAGACAAAGGATCCAACAGTTTAGACCAGGGTGAGTCGGAGGGAGCTAATTCTGCTGCTGCATGAGCCATTCTGTCCCTTTGCAAGACTTTGGAGAGATGGATGCGGAAATGAAAAGAGGGAAAGGCTCCTATTTTTTTAAGCCCCCCCCCCAATTCATCCTCCCTGGGTTCCCTCTGAGTCTGGTTCTGGTGGAATAATAAGAATAATTGCACCCACTTTGGCTTAGTGGTGAGGGCACCAGGCAAGACCACGAGTTCTAGTCCCGCCTTAGGCATGAAAGCCGGCCGGGTGTCACAAAATTCACTTTCCTTGCACTGGTTCATCCTGCAGAGGAGAAGGGAAACTCTCCCTGTTGGATTCAGGCAGGGAAGGCAGCCCAGAGTCTGCATGGTGGAGCCTTGACCCCCTTTGGGGGGAATTGCCCTCAATTCTTTGAAGGGAAATAGGGAAACTTCCAGCAATGTCATGATCCCCAGAGACACTTCTGCTGGCATAGCTGAGACCTGACTGATTGTGGAAAGTGGGGGGAGAGTCCCTCTCTCAGAGATGTGCCCAGCTGAGTTTAGGGTTTGGCCCCAACGAGATCTCAGCCAGGATTGGTGGGTTTACAGTGGTCCTCTGAGAATCTCTTCTGGCACTCAGGTTGCTCCCACCCCACGATTCTGGTTGTGACTCCCTGTTTCTGAAGCTGGGCTGACATGATCAGTTGGGCTTGTTGCTACAGTACCAGCCTCCCTGCTGCATGGCCACCTCCCTGCCTCAGTTGCTGGGGGCCATCTCACGGTTGGCATGGACTTGCCCAGGATTCTGGTCCTGGGAGACTTCAATCTGCCCTCCCTGGGTTTGGCCTCGGAAGCAGCCCAGGAGTTCATGGCCTCCATGGGGTCCGTGGGCCTCTCCCAGATCATCCTGGGTCCAACTCAAGACAGCGGCCACACACTGGACATGATCTTGTTGTCAATGGCAGCATGATCTGATGGGGGAATCTGGTTTTTATTTATTGTTTTAAATAGTCTACATGGCATTTTATTGAATTTTACTGTGAGCTGCCTAGAGTCACCTTAATGAGATATTTGGGATGGAAGTTTAATTAATAAATTAATTAATAAAAAGCTTTATGTCCTCTGAGAGGTTTGTGAAGCTGAAGAGGTTTCATGGTGAAGAGAGAGATTTGTCCTCCTCAGAGGATCCAGACATTCATTCATTCTGTGTCTTTTCCCCAATCCAGGGAGCATCCAGGCCGTTAGCAGCCTCCTTGCAGGTGAGTGGACTGGGGGGGGGGACGTATGGGGGGAGAGGGAGGGAGGGAGGGAGGGCTTTGGGGTCCAAGGAACAAGGGTGAAGATCCTTTGGAAATCTCAGACACTGGAAGGGAAGGAATTTGGGGGAGAGGGCTCAGGGGAGGGGTCTTCCTGGCCCCAAACTCTGATCCTGTGGCAGCTCTCAGGCTCCGGTTGTCTTGATCCAACTAACCCTTGGATACTTTTTCCCTTCCTCTTTGCAGGGGACACGCCCAGCATAAAGATAGAGGAATGAGGAGGGATCAGCCTTCGTCTGAATTAGGCCGGACTCTTAGCAGGAGCCCTTCAGGCCCTTCCTGCATGCTGGAACCAGGAGAGATTTTGGGTCTTTCATCACTTCTTTTATCAATGAATCAGTAACCTTTTTCTTTTATGATGATTGAGGATCACAGGAGAAAAGAATATATTATGTGTTACTAATTGTGGGATCAAAAGATTTCAAATTGGGTTTTGTAGATAATAGTTTCTAATAGGTAGGTTGCCTAAGAGCCTTAATGGGCTTTTGCTGATTAGTCTGCGTGGATGGAGATTAGAGGTTAAAGATGAGGTTTTAGAGATGGGTTGATAGAGAATGGAGAATGAGGAATAGGATGAAGAGTTCGTTGGTTTTACTTTAAGAAAGATTGATGAGTTAATTTTCATTATGCTTGTTGCAGATAAAGGTGGAGGTTGATTTTTCTTTTTTCCCCTTGTGTTAGTTTTATCTGTTTAATCTAACCTTCGATGAAACTATTGCTAAATTGGGTTTTTAAATGGTTTTTAAATGGTTTTTAGTTGGGAGTTTTAAATTCGGCCAAAACTGATTGAATTATTTTAAATGGTTTTTAAATTTTGTCTCGTTATTGTTTTAACATGGCTGTACACCGCCCTGAGTCCTTCGGGAGAAGGGCGGTATAAAAATATAATAAAATAAATAAAATAAGTGTGCATTCTGAGATTTTTTTCATTAAAATGGTTGATGCATTTTAATTGATTATTGCACGGTTATTTGATTATATATTTGATAACACAAAGTTTGACAATCCATATACTGAGTGTAACATTAGACACTGATTTTTTTATAAATTGCCATTTATGGATTTTCATGATTTAGAAAAATGGAACATGAGATCCATTGCAGTCAGGCTGCTACCTCCTTAACAATGGCACATATATTGTAAGTTTGCCAAAATCGTTTGCTGAAAATAAATGATTTCTTTTCCTCTTGCCTGACTTGCTGTGTGTTTGGGGAGGTTGGAATTAAGAGGGATTTTACCCTCCTTGTTGCTCAGAGACCCCGATTTCACTTTGTGTTGGAGGAAGGCGGGGAACCAAGGCAAAACCTGGAAGAAGGAAGAACTGGGGGGCTCCTGCGTGCTCCTTTGGGAAGGCAGCCATTTTGTTCCTGTGTCCAGATGTTTCTCTAGCATCTCCAGCTGATCTTCTGTAAAATGGCCATTTGGTCTTGGCTTGAGCTTTTCCCTCAAATCCACCTTTGCCTCAGGCTGTTGGCCAAGTGGCTGATCTTTGAGCCTCATCCAGTGGCCCATCGGGAGAGAGGAGTTCAGTGACCGGCAGAGCCATCCTGGTCCCCTTGCAGAAGGGCAGCTTCTCTTCCTTCTCAGAGATCCTCTCTGGGCTCTTCAGCTGTCCAATAAGATGCAGTGGCCCAACGGTGGGGATACCTCTGATTTATGGGAAAGATGTTCCCCATATTATAGTGGATGCTTTGGGGGCACGGAGGAGTGAAAAGGATGGGGTCTCTCATCCCCCTCCCTCTGGACTAGCCATCTTTGAAAGCTTAAAAAGTAAACTTGAAAGCATTTTGCAAGAATTCAATGCATATTTCAGCCTCTTCTATGGATTCAAAACTTTTAGAAATTTATTTCTTAATTAGAATATATGACCGCCCAGCTGACGTAAGAGGCTCTGGTCAGCCAACACAATAAAAATATCGATACAAGAACAGAAGACAATAAATATAACGCATGAAAGAAAAAGGAGCACCAAGGATAAACCAGTCAGCCACAAATTCATTCAGTTCAGTCTACAGGTAGTCCTTGACTTACAACAGTTCATTTACTGACTGCTCATAGTTACAATGGGATTGAAAAAAGTGATTTATGAGCGTTTTTTGCACTTATGCCCATTGCAACATTCATGCGGTCAAAATTTGGACACTTGGTAACTGGTTCATATTTATGACCGTTGCCGTGTCCTGGAATCACATGATCCCCTTTCGACAAGCAAAGTCAATGGAGAAGCCAGTTTCACTTAACAACCCTGTTACTAACTTAACAATTTCAGTGCTTCACTTAACAACCATGACAAGAAAAGTCATAAAAAGGGGCAAAACTCACTGAACAAAATTTTCACTTAACAACAGAAATGTTGGGCTTAATTCTGGTCGTAAGTCGAGGACTACCTGTAGTAGTTAAGGCACCAGGCTAGAAACCAGGAGGCAGTGAGTGAAAATGCCATCAGAGGCTTAGATTTGTCACGTAGTGAAGAGAGAGATTTAATAATTAAATGGCTCAGAATTGAATCTGCTGAGCATTCAAAACGGATCAGGAAAATAAACATAAATTACCCCGAAACATCTTAAAATGATCTGGGACAGACTTGGTGAGTGCTATGGCTCAGCAGAAGCCGTGTTCAAAAGACTTGATAGCTTTCCCAAAATATCTAAAAGAGCCTATCAGAAATTTTGGGAACTTAAGAGACTTACTAATGGAACTACAAGTAGCTAAGTCGGAAGGGGACTTGCAAGGACTTGCATTCCTTGACACAGCCAGAGGTGTCAGCCCCATTGTACAAAAGTTACCCTATAACTTAACAGGAGTAGTAGGTCACACATGGCTCCACAGACAAAAGAGAGTACAATGTTCCATTTTCCTCCTTCTCTGTTTTGGTGGACTTTGTGTGCCAACAAGCTAAAAGAAGAAATGATCCTACCTTTGACTTCACATTGTCATCTGCTGCTCCTTCAGAACATGATCCTCACAAGCCTTCAGTAGCAGCCCACAAAACTAATGAGACTCCCCCAGATTACCTTCACAGGTCTGCCAGCAACTCTCACCTAGAAACTGAGATCCTGGTAAGCAGTGTCCTCTACACCAGAAGCCAGACCCTCTCCTCAGGGGTGAAATCTACTTACCTTCCCTACCAGTTCGGAAGTGCACGTGCGATTTTGGATCCTCTGCGCATGCGCAAAGCGTTCTGTGCATGCACAGAGGATTAAAAAAAGGTTAAAAGCAGGTAGTAATGACATTCGGGTGGGTGAGTGGAGCCTCGCACTGCCGCCGCCACCGGTTCTCCAAACCACCCACCGCTGCCGTTACCAATTCACCCGAACCGGTCTGAACCGGTAGCATTTCACCCCTGCCTCTCCTAAAATGCAGAGCCTTCAGGGAGAAGCCCACGGAAGACCTCAAAGCTTTCCTGAAAGCAAACAACGTTTGTTACAAGTGCTGCTCATCGGTCCCCCACTTTGCCAACGCCTGTAAGGTCCGTGTAAAATGGATGGAATGTGGCAGCACAGGCCACAACACAGCTTTACACCCAGGGCCAGCACACCATGAACCTTACAACACACTCACAGTGCCAGTGAACACGGCAGGGAGGAAGAACACACTGCTGCAACCACAACAGAAATCCATGCAAAATGCCCAGAGGAGTGCAAAGAGATTGCAGGCGGCAAGTCCTGCTCCAAAATCTGTTTGGTGTAATCAGAGTCTACCCAGCAGGCTAAAGGGACAAAGCCATTAAGCTTTATGCCCTCCTAGAGGACCAAAGTAAGAGGTCTTTAAGCTTTAGCCAGCTCAGCCTTCTTCGATGCCTTTGGCATTAAAGGCCCCAGCACTCCATCTTCCTTAAAAGCTTGTGCAGGAATTGTGGAGACGGCAGGGAGAAGAGCATCTGATTTCCAAGTCAAGTCAGCAGACGGGAAAAGATGCCTGACTTTGCCAACTCTTATCGAATGCAACCAGATCCCTGACCATAGATCTGAAATCCCTACACCAGATGCAGCGATTCATCACCCACATTTGAACCACATAGTGGATCCGACACCAGAGCTCGATCCTATAGTCTTGCTCCCAGGGAGAGAGATTTTATGAGTCCACAAGGCCAGAGCTCAGATCAAGGGTCCCCACAATGCTCCCGAGGCCCAGAAATTAGACCTAGGGTGGGTCATGATGGGAGAGGTCTGTCTTAGGGTTAAATGCACAAACCGGCCTCTCTTAGCAGCATGCTGACAAGTACATTAGAGAACAGACTTCCTATTTTTCAGCCAAGCCCCAACCAATTCCTCTTAAAGGACTCACCACACGTCACCCGTTTGCCTTGTCCCTTCATGGGCATCCCCTTTAGTGACAGCCTCGCCTGTGACGGTGACCGAGGGTCATTGAAGATGCCCAGTCTTCCAAAAGACGGAAGATGACAATCGGGGGCAACATCTGCTGAGGACAAACTCCCTTTAGAAATGACAGAGCAGGGATTACGCAAAGAAGAAAGTGACAACCAGGTCACCCCTCTTCCAGGGGTGGGTTGTAATTTTTTTTCTACCGGTTCTGTGGGCGTGGCTTATTTTGTGGGCGTGGCTTGGTGGGGGTAATGTGACTGGGTGGGCGTGGCCAAGGTTTTTTTTTCTACTTTTAAAAGCATTTTTTTCTACAACTTTTAAGAGGTTGCAGAAAAAAATGCTTTTCAAAGCCTCTGACGATCAGGCAACTCAGCTGGGATCGCCATAGGCTTTTAAAGGCATTTTTTTTCCTACAATCTCTTCGGTAGAAAAAAATATTTTGAAAAGTAAAAAAAAAAAAGAAGCCTTTGGTGAGGTGAGTGTGATAAGCGAGAGGTGACCGGGCCGGGGACCGATTCGGGGGCATGGGCAGCCAATGTTATTACCGGTTCTCCAAACTATTACAAATTTTTACTACCAGTTCTTGCGAATCTGTGTGAACCGGGAGCAACCCACCACTGCCGTCTTCCCTTCAGACCACAGAGGCCACACCTACCTGACCATAAAGAACGAGCTGTAGCCTTTTCCTTGCCACAGTCTCCAGAGTCCATCTGCACCATTTATACCTCAGAACCTGTGGACTACGCCATACTGTAGCTCAAATGGCACAGCAGACTACAGCTGCCCCACAAACATCAGCAAGGTTCAAAAAGCAATTGAAGCAGCCTTCTGCAATGTCCACCATAGTATCTGTTCAACAGAATGGTACTGGATATACCTCAGATAGCCTCAGCCATTCTAAGGGAGAAGCTAGCAATGGGATCTTATATTCTGGACTTAGATCCCTGTCACGTTCCCAGAGGTCTCATGGACACTGCAGTGGCATCACCTCGTTGTCGACCATATCAGCAAAAAAGCAATGGCAGCTCACCTCATGCTACCATCTCAGAACGCAATCGTGGTATCAGATGATTCCAGGCAGGGAGTGTCATGTCCCAGCATGTAACTTTTTATACATAGAATAGAATAACAGAGTTGGAAGGGACCTTGGAGGTCTTCTAGTCCAAACCCCTGCTTAAGCGGGAAAACTTACACCACTTTAGACAAAGGGTTATCCAACATCTTCTTAAAAACGTCCGGTGTTGGAGCATTCACAACTTCTGCAGGCAAGTTGTTCCGCTTATTAATTGTTCGAACTGTCAGGAAATTTCTCCTTAGTTCTAAGTTGCTTCTCTCCTTGATTAGTTTCCACCCATTGCTTCTTCTTCTACCCTCGGGTGCTTTAAAGAATAGTTTGACTCCCTCTTCTTTGGGGCAATCCCTGAGTTATTGGAACACTGCTATACTGTTGTTCAGTGGTGGGTTCCCCCCGGTTCGGGCTGGTTCTTGCCAACCGGTAGTAAAACCGTCGGGAGGCTCCGCCCACCTGTCCCTACATCACTCTGGACGACCTGCGCATGTGCAGAAGTGAGCGTGAGAGAGTAAAGTGGCGAACCGGTAGTAAAGGTAAGTAGAACCCATCCCTGCTGTTGTTGCTCTCTAGCCTCATCTAGTGGCAGATACCATCCAGAGGAACAAACACCAATTTGTTTTTCAACTGAATCGTACAGCTTATACGATATATTAAAGGGGGAAAAAATTCTGAACGGGTTTTCTTACCTTTAAACAAAGCTGGCATTTCAACAGGATATGCTGAGTTTTTATATCCACTGTAATCTGGTTCCCCCGTTGACTTTCCTTGTTGGACGTCCCCTGGGAAGGTCACA